CTGACAGGGCCCAAACTGGATTAGGGGGATGTGTTTTGATACAGAACTGTAAGACTCCAGACATAACACATCTAAGAAATAAACACATTTATGTTATATGGAAACCAACTTGACAATAAACTATTTAAAAAAAGAAAAAGAAATAAACACATTTAACCAAGAGGCAGTTAGGTGTCATAGTTGGGGGTGCAGCTATCAGAGTCAGAATGCCTGGATATAAACCGCAAAACTTCTCCTCACCAGCTGTGTGACCCTGCACAGGTATTTAACCTCTCTGTGCCTTGGTTCCTGCATCTCTTAAATGAGGGTAATGCTGGAAGCTGCCTTACATTATGTTGTTGTAAGTTAAAGCACGTAAAGCATTTAGAATGAAGCCTGGCATATAGCAGCCACTCCATAAGGTTTCACTACTACTGTAGCCCACATGCTATTAAGCACACAGTAAACACTCAATGGATATTTGCTATTATTATCATCATGAGTTCAATTAAGACCTCGCTAGACTCTAATCTTTCTCTGATATTTCAAAGGAACCATGATCTTTTCTTTTTCTGCTAGAATTAAAAAGACCACCTTGGAAGACAAATTGGATTAAAATAAAAGCTCTCAGAATGTAGGCTCTCAGACAGATCCAAAGTACAAGGCATATAAAGTAATAGCAGGGGAGGGGGGTGGTTCTTTAAGCCTTTCAACATATATTTAATAGAGAATTAAACCCCATCTCAAAATTACAGAATAAGGAGATTCAAAGGTAGTCACAGCACTGGAAATGTCACATCTTACTAGAGCAAATGTGCTGATTGGTAGGTAGGTAGCTAAGGGAAGGGGTAGGTAAGCAGAAAGAGGGAATGGTTTTCCTAAAAATAAAATAAAATAATGGAAATAAAAACAAAGTAAAAAAATTCCTACTGCCAAGAAATTTATAGGTGCACTTGCTGTACTATAATAAACTGGTCAGAAAAGTTAGAATTCATTTGTTTATTCCTTAGCCCATTCCTTCATTTATTTAACATTTACTGCCCAATAATAAATAGTTCCAAGTTTTATTATCTTGTGGCAGTGTATGCAAACAACTACAATACAGGCTGGAAAGAATCGAGTGTTACAGATGAAGAATGAAAGGAAACAGACGCTCATCGCAAACTTCCGGGCAAAGTGTTAAATCAGACAACTGTCCAGGTCTCTTCACGTCCCTGTAAGCCTCATTTCAGACTGTGTCATCAGTCACACACCGCAGTGTCAGCCTATGAAAACCTTTCCTTGGCTGGTTGTACTATATATTGATGTTATTGCTTCATTGTAAACCAAATACATTTTATTTATGTATTTTGTCATTTCTCCCCCTCTACCAGAATGTAAGCTTCCTGCCTGCTTGACTTGGTTGCATTGTAAAACAGTACCTGGCTCATAAGAGGTGTACAATAAATACCTGCAGAACAGTAAGCCAAAAAATCACAACCTCTATTCAAGGTCTCAGCTTGATAGAATGGAATCCAGATGGCCTTTGAGCATTCCCATTGGTAGAGGACACCATTGCCATTCCCTCAAAAGGAGATCGGGACCCTCCTCACCGCTCCCTTCTCTGGGAAAAATCCCAACCTCCTCCGTCTGTACATAAGGGCCGCTGGAAATTGTGTTTCCTTTGTATGATTTTGCATTTTTGGTCTTAACAAATCGGACCAAAGCAGATATGGAACTTAAGCTGAGCCAATTCAATTCTCTTTTCTGGGACTTTGTAAGAAGAGAGAGAGTTCAACAAAATGACCTCTGAACCCATTTACAGATCCAATGGAAAAGAGACACGATATATGTATAATTACAAAACTCATTTTAGAAAAGCTGGAAATGATAGAAAAGCATAAAGAAAGAAATAAAAATCACCACATAAGAATTTATAGTAACAAAAACTGGGAAACAGCCTAGGTGCCCCAAAAGAAATAGATAAATAGACTATGGTATGTCAATACTAGGCACTACCATCCTGGAAAGATCTACAGAACAAAACAAGGCACAGAACAAACATAAGTATATGTCTCTGTGTGTGTATATATATATATATATATATATATACACACACATATTGTAAATGTATATATACATTTGGAACTATGTATTATATATAAAGGTCTATAAGAATATAAAGCATACTGGCAGCCATAATTTTCTCTGGAGAAGAGAGCTGTAAAGAGGAGCTTCCAGTTTTCATGTGAAATACTTTTGTAGGACTTGAATGTATTATGACAGTACCCTATTCTTTTATTACTTTGTTTAATTAAAGGACAAAACCTAAAATTATGAAAAGATACCCAGTAAGCAGAGTCAACTGATACTGGAGACAAGGACATTTTCTAGGAAGCTGTGACCATCACCTGAATGTGAGGTGACGAGGCCTGAACTGGGGCAGAAGGAAGAGTGAGAGGGCGCCTGGGTGGCTCAGCAGGTTAAGTGTCTGGCCTTGGTTTAGGCTCAGATCATGATCTCACAGTCCTGACAGCACAGAGCCTCCTTGGGATTCTATGTCTCCCTCTCTCTCTCTGCCCCCCTTCACAAGCTCTTTCTCTCTCAAAATAAATAAACCTTTTTTTAAAAAATGGTGAGAAAGAGATAAACCTGTGACAGAGTTCAGGTGTAGAGTTGAGACTTCTGATTGGTTGAATACAGTGGGGTGGTGGAGGGGGAGTATTTGGGGATGAGCCGCAATATACTTTCATTGTAAAGAGCATGGGCTTTGGAATTCGGCCACCAAGACCCAAAGCCCAACTCAGACATTCACCAGCTTAAGGGACATTGGGTGACTTAGTTCACATCTCAGTGTCTCAGTTTGCCCCTGTGTAAATGGAGATGATAAAACTGCTTCCTAGTTCATACTTTTCCCAGTTCATGTAAAGTGCTTAGAATTTTGTCATTGCTCGGTATATATGGGCTATTATTAGAATGACTTCTATTATTATCACCACCACCACCATTATCATCAACATTTTCTTCATTAGGGCCAATCCCAGGCCTTAGCTTAGGGGACTAGATGGAAATAGGGAAAAATACAAAATGACTTAAAGCATTCTCCAAAAGTGAGAGTCAGAGAGGAATAAGAAAGCCAAGAAGAGTTCACAAGCCTGATGACCGTGTTTTACAAATTGGCGGCACTGGGAAGAGGACATCATGCTGAATAAAACTGCCTGTAAAGTTAGATAAGATTTTAGGTTGGAAGGAACTTATATGATTAGCTATATTTAAGGCAGAGAACCACTGACTGAATCTTTTTCTTTGTTTTTAATTTATGTTTAAATTTTTAAATGTTTATTTATTTTTGAGAGAGAGAGGGAGAGAAAGATCAGGGGAAGAACAGAGAGAGTGGGGGAGCCACAGAATCTAAAGCAGGCTCCAGGCTCTGAGCTGATAGCATAGATCCCTACGCAGGGCTAGAACTCAAGGACTGTGAGATCATGACCTGAGCCAAAGTCAGGCACTTGACCAACTGAGCCACCCAGACGCCCCAATTTATGTTTAAAATATTAGATACGCAAAAATCTATAGAGACATAGAAATACATATCATGCATATATTAGCATACTCTAATTGTAATGAATTAAAGCACGAAGTCAAAGCAAAACATGAACACACATAGGCTCACTTCCTGCCCTGATCCCTTTCTCTACTTTTACACATCTACCCAACACTTGAGGGATGTCATCAAAATACACTTTTGTTGTCATCTTCCATTATCTCTTCAAAATTTATTCAGGTGGAGTAATCTCTGGCCCTAGAAAGAAATTCTTGCAGACCCATGACTTTTCTGCTCACTCTTAGCTAAAAGATAGTCCTCAGTTCAGAAATTAAAATGTCTGCCCCGACATGTGAACCCAAACTCCAAGTCTGATTTAGAGTCAGATCTCTGCCCCAGATGGGGCCTCCTTCCTATTTTGCCCTTCTGCTTCTCGTCCCTGACTGAGGTAAGGTGGTTTCTGAGCCCTCCAGGATAAGGGGGAGTAAGAAGAGGAGAGAAATTAGTACATGAGGAAGGTCTTGAATTGTTCAGTACTCCAGACATTCTCTGGCCTGGTGGAGACCAGGTCTTTCACATGGGCCACTGTGCGGGACCCCCATGAGGTGCTAAGTTGTTCTTAATCACCACCTACTTTCTGCTGTCATTGACTCTTGTCATGGGGCTTTCTCACCCTCAGGCTGCAGACTGGAGGACTTTGAATGGATCTATTCATTCTCTCTCTCTCTCTCTCTCTCTCTCTCTTTCTCTGTTGCTTGGTTGCATGGCCCACAGCTGGTACAAGGGTATCATCCAACCCCCTTCCTCCAGCAAAATCTGGGAGTGTGCATAGGGTGCAGCATGGACACCTGCACTTTGCTGCCACAGGAAACTCAAACTTTTTTAGGCCTGCGTCAGGCACCACTCTTTTCTGTCTCCCAACTACAGCACTACGTCTCAGGCTTCTGCGAATGAACCCAGGCCTCAGGGAAGGAGGTAACAACTTCCCTAAGCTACTCACGTTGCTAAGTACACCTCTCTCAGAAACAAAACAAAACTTCACCGATTCCTCTCCTTTACTCCCTAATCTTTTTTAAAAAATGTTATTCATTTTTGAGAAAGAGAGCATGAGTGGGGTAGAGGCAGAGAGAGAGAGAGGGACTGAGGATCAAAAGCAGGCTCTGCGCTGCTGCTGATGGAGCCGTATGTGGGGCTCCCTACTTAGGAACCGTGAGATCACGACCTGAGCTGAGCTACTCAGGCGCAGGCCCCCTTCCTTTTCCCCTCCTTTTCGAAATTCTTAATGTGAGGAGGAGTAAAAGCCAGGGAATGTTTTGTAACCATTGGCTGTGTATATTCTAAACAAATTGATCTGGCTTTGCAATGTACTATTACAGCTTCATGTTTCAGCCCTGAAGCTCTCCCATCCTTCATTCTGTTTTTCTCCTTTTAAGAGCAAGTTTATGGATGATGGGAGATCATTTAAGAACAGAAACGCACCTTTGTGTTTTCCTCTACTCCCCACCGAGAGCTCCTCGCCAGGCACAATCCTTCAAAGGAGCCTGAGCTCATTTCATCATCGTTGCCGCTTTTTGCACCGCCAAGCGTTAGAGGGCGCTAGAACCGCAGACCGTGCCTTGGCGCTCAATGAAGGCCGCTCCCGACGCACAGGTCTTTACGTAAACGTTGGGGGCGGAGCCGCCCTGAGCGCGGTGACTGGCGGCGGCACTGGCGGCAGCTGGAGGCGTAAGAGTGCGGGTCGCGGGCTTGAAGAACTTCAGAGGTGGCGGTGGCGCCGGCGACGACGACGACAGCAGGAGCGGGCCCTGGGCTTGTCGCTCACCATGCCGACCGTAGAAGAGCTTTATCGCAACTATGGCATCCTAGCCGACGCTACGGAGCAAGTTGGGCAGGTAAGTCCCCGAGCGGCCTGCAGGGCCCGGCGCTCCGCGGCCTCTCGAAAGCGCTCCCCGCTCCGGGCGGGGGCTGCTGCTTCGCCCTCCCGCGGGCTCCCAGCCGCCCCGGCTGTTTTGGTCGGAGTGGGCCCCACGGGGAATGTAAACTCCCGCTTGGCCGCGGAGAGCGCGGGTTCCGATTCCAGATTCCTCCTCTGGAGGAATCTTGACCAGTCTTTTCTCACCGTGGCGTTTCCTAACTCACCTCGCCAGCAACCTCCCTCCCTCCCCCCTCCCGCCCCTCCCGGTTAATTCTCGCCCCGAGCCTTGCGGTGCAGATTGCTCTTAAGTCTTGTCTTTGCGGTGGACCTCAGCTCGCCGGAAGATTAGGTGGAGAGTTCTTAAGAGGTCAGGAATGTGTTTCTAGAGGCAAAAAATAAAAAAAAAAAAATAGAGAGAGAGAGAAAATAACTTGCTATTAATTTAGAAAGAGTGCTTAGCAGACTGACAGAAGTTTGTGAAAAAAAGAAGAGGGGCCGTTTTGCCCAGATTTTAACCAGGACTTAACGATTTCATTTATTCAGTTCATTTTTGAGCGCCAGGTGCTGTGCCGGGCGCTAGAGGCACAAGGCATAGTTACTGGTGCTCTCCGGAATGTACCTTTAGTGAGGGAGACTACTGATAAATAAGAAAGATACCCCCCCTCCATGAAAAGTGTAGTGCAGAAAATATAACAACCGTGCAGTGGCAGTGGGCAGGGGCGGGGAAGAGTGCAGCTTTAAATAGAGTTGTCTGGCAAGAGCCCTCCGCGGTGTTTGCCCGAAGACACACAGTTTCCGCCGTGTTGAATGGTCTATGCAGGCTTCTTTGTGAGTTTTCACGTACTGGAGTACATTAAACTTAAGAAGTTGGGGGGCGGGGGGAGGAGCGCATGTGTGTATGTTCTTAGGGAAAGAACCAGGCTCTCTCGGGGGTAATCTTGGTCATTGTTGTTAGAAATTCTACGCGTATCTTTTCAGTACTTAGAACTTAATGCCTTTCATCTGTTTACGCATCCCGTGGAGTAAGAAGTGGAAGATCCTATAGAGTCTGCTAACGTTATCAAGGCCGTGGCACTGCCCCTCCCAGCCCCCTTTTTCTGCACGTAGGTAATTCAGGCAAATCTTTTTTTGAGCTAAACAATAAAATTGTGAGGTCAGGGCCTTATTTAAACTTAATCTAGAATTGCAAATTTACCAGTTTGAAGTATTAGTTCGTTTTCCTTCAGTACATATTTCCATTTCAGTAGGGAATTTTGACATCGTCAGTGAGAAATACTAACAGTCTGTTGTAGACTAATATAGAGTGGGTCAGTACTGAAGGAGACATTTTCTACCCATTAAGACAAGATTGGGAAAACTATGATCAGTCATATTTTGATTTTGTTGTTGTTCCTAGAAAGATGTGGTAGTGAAGATATTCTCATTCATTGTGACTGAGTTGAGGGAGATGATAGCAAACCTTTCTACCCAAAATTGAGTGTGTTGCAGATCAGCGGAGGAGATGGGGTAAAGCCTACAACAGTGATTGTCAGTTTGTAGATGCTGCTCTCCCAAAGAGGTGTATCAGGAATTTTTTAGGGAAACTTGGAAACTATATACACAGTCCACTCCCATTCCCCCACCCTTATTCTTTGCTGGATAGCAAAAACGGTTGACGGCCACCTTCTCAGAGAATGAATGTTAGGGCAAACAGAGCCAAACTGGAATTTATATATTCACTATGAATCACTGAGAGTTGCTCACATTTTTCTCTTAATGTCATTTTTAATCTCTTAAAAATATATATATTTGGAAAGAGCGTGCGTGCACATGTGTGGGGAAGGGGCGGGGGGGGGGAGGGGATCCCAAGCAGGCTCTGTGCTCACAGCACAGGATTGATCACCAGACACGTGGCTTGATCCCACGAACCCTGAGATTGTGACCTGAACTGAAATCAAGAGTCAGACCCTTAACCGGCTCAGCTGAGCCACCCAGACACCCCTCATGTCATCTTCAGTCTTAATACCAGGTAACATTGAGAGTTCTCCCTCAAGAGGTCAAAAATGTCTTTCTCAAGGCAAAAATCTGCTTTTAATTTAGGAAGAGGGGTTAGGAGACAGGAGTTTGTGAAAAACAGAAGAGGGGTTTTTTTTTCCACGCAGACTGTACTGAGGGCCCACAGTCTCATTCATTCAGTACATTTTCTCAGTGCCTACCACTACCAAACGCTGTGCCAGGTGCTACAATTTCAGCAGGATTCCTTAGCACAATGAGAAAGCAGTACCTTCGTGACACCGTAGTGACAGCTGTCAGGCAACTGTTGGAGACAAAAAGCCCTGCGCATAATTTAGGGTAGTGATTTTCTCAGCCTCAAGTAGTGAATTCTGGGAGGACTGAAACTGGACTAAACCATAATGGCTACTAAGTCTGCTGTATGGTGTAATAACTTTTGCTGTTAGAGAAAATTCCTAAAACTTCTCACCAAAAAAAGATAGTGGGTTTCATCATCCTGCATGTGAATTTTAACTAAAAGCAAGTACCAACTTAATGGAAGGAACCCCACTGGCTGTTCTTTAAGGAGGGAAAGTCTATACGTTTTTAGTGTAGCAAAGCCTGACTTGCATGTTATCTTAGGAGGTTTACGGTCAAGGGTTAAGTTTCCTGGCAGGTACCTATCCGGACATTTCTGAGGCTATATTTGAGTTTTTAGTCTAGAACTTTCTTCTGACATTTACGTTAGATTTCATCCTTTGTCGAAGAGCTGAGCACCACAGCTGCTCTTGCTGCTGCCCAGGGGAGTGCTGTCTTCTCCCTGGCGGTACGCCTTTGAGAGTCATGCTCTCTGAATAAAAACACAAGTTCTCCAAGGTTTTCATCTAATTTTCCTCTAACAGATTAGACTTTTCTCTTGATGAACCTCCTTGGCACTGTGTATTCATTTATTGTACTTCATGTTTGTATTTTATTTCATGTGAGGGCTTTCTTATTTCCTTACTAAATTATAAAGTCTTAAGGTTAAGGGTTAAATTGTCTTATTTTTTTGTTTTTCTCCTTGCACTGTACCTTCCACTTCAGTAGACATTTTTTCTTTAAAGTTGAAGAAATACATTAAAAGCAAGAACAGATACAATTTACTGTATATATTATAACTACATAATTATATTAGTAAAGTTAATAATTATACAACTAATATAATATGTCCTATAATCATATATAAATGTAATTATTGTATGTGTGTATTCATACATGAAACAAAAACCTGTTTACAAGGATTATCTCTTGTGAATGAAGATGAGAACTTTATACACTCACACATCATGTATTTGAACCATGAGCGTGTGTTTTCTAATAAGCAAACTTCAAGTAATAAATTCAACACCTCAAAACCTTTCCCTCCTTTTTTCCACCTGCTCTTCAGCTCCCCTTCCGCCAACTCTGCCTCCACTACTCCTTCAGGTCTCCTTGCTCTGCCCAGTGTTCCTTTACCTCCCTAACCCCCTTTTCACTGTGCTCTGGCCATAACAGAGGAAGCTGTTGTCCATTAGTATTTTACATTTGTTTCTAATTTTTCTGAATTTACTTATTTTTTAAATATAGTATACTTATTACTTTATATATACTTAGCTATATATATATACTGTATAGCTATATATATTACTATGTATATACTTAGCTTTGTATTACGTAGTCAAAAACATTTTAAAGTTAAAAAAAATACCAAATATCTGTGACGCGACTGGGGCAGTTAGGCTGAGCTAAGATCAATACAATGCCTGAACCCTGATTTCTCCTTTGTTCTGTTACACGGAGTACCCTGGCTTTTCAGAGTGGAAAAGTGTAAGTTTGATTGACTTATATTTCATGAAATAGCACTCTTTTGGTGCCTTTTTTCCTATGATTAAGCTAAAAATCACAGACGGAGTTCATATTCCCTCAAAAATCTGTAAAAAGTATTAAAATTGTCAGTAACATTGTAATAACGTTGGATGGTGACTACACTTATTGTCGTGAGCATCGAGTGATGTAGAACTGTTGAACATCTATATGTCAACTATACTTCAATAAGAAAGTGTTAATTTAGTATTACAAACTACATTTATTAATTGAGAGAGAATTAATATAGCTTAGCGTATTCATTTTCTTTTTATGTCATACTTGAGAAATATGTTTGTTGAAACTACATCCTTCTCTAAAATAATTCTTTATTACTTAGAAGCTGCATCCTGGTGTCAAACAAACATGGCTTTACTGGCACGTCCCTGATCCTTTATATATATTGGTTGTGTTTTGACAATCACTCTCACAGATTTTTTTTATTTTAGAAGGTATCTGCTGAATATGGATCTAACTGTAGCTGACTTTTTACTTGAAAAAATTTTAGTTTGCTTTTTTAAATTAGATATTGAAAGCATACACAAAACAGTTTTAGAAATGCACTCAAAATATTTACAATTAAAACTTCTTGTAAGTATCACATATTTATCTATCTAGCTGAACTATACAGTTGTGTCGGAAGAGAAAAAATAAGCTGTGGTGTGTAGTACTTGGAGTACTTTATTGTGGCTACAATCTACCTGTCACTAAATCACTGTGATCACTGAAAATGTCACTTCTATTTTGTTTCCTAATTTGAAAACCAGAAGTGGGGTACCTGGGTGGCTCAGTTGGTTAAGTGTCCAACTGCAGCTCAGGTCATGATCACAGTTTGTGAGTTCGAGCCCCGTGTCAGGCTCTGTGCTTACAGCTCAGAGCCTGGAACCTGCTTCAGATTCTGTATCTCCCTCTCTCTCTGCCCTTTTCCTGTTCATACTCTGTGTCTCTTTCTCTCAAAAATAAATACACATTAAAAAAAAAAAGAAAACCAGAAGCAATAACTAGGGAGATTCTTTAAAGCCTTGTCCCCATGCTACAGTTAGAAAACAAAGAGCTAGCAGTAGAACATTTTATTTTGCATTATCTACAGAGTGTAATGAGTTTGAAGTCTGCTAGTAACGTTTATAGAAATTATTTGATGAAACTGATGCCTACCAGTGGTAGATTTGATTTCTAGTGTGAATATGTTAAAATGTTTTAACTTTCCAAAGGCCTTGCTGTGTTTGGGATGCTATATCTCTGTTTACATGCCTATATGGAGCCTAGGACTCAAATTTTGCCTTTAATGGTCCTAAATCTGGCAAGCTTTCTTTGTGTCTTCCTTTGTTAATTAAGATCTCAGAACTTAAAGAAGCTTCGTATTAGGCACAGATCTTGACTTTAGACTCTATCAGAACTGTGTTCAGGTCTGGATCTGCTACCTGGCTAGCTATGAAGCTCTGGACAAATTATTGTACTTACTGAGCCTTGGTGTTCTCATCTGAAAAATAAGGATAGTGGTAACACCTTACTCCTGGGATTACTGTGAGGCATGTACACAAAGCATCATTCAGTCCCTGGTAAGCTTTCACTACATGTCGCTAATGATTCCTTTTTATTCTACCAGATGTTTCTTTTTTTTCTCTTGACAAGAGAATGAATTGTTTGAAGTAGGGTTTCTTCATTTAATTTCAGACAATGTAAGGTGTTCCCACAAAAGCCTTTAAAAGTAAAGCTTTGTTAGAGTTAAAGGAAATAGGACAGTGATACCCTGTAAAAAGTAAGGATGTCAGAACTATTTAAAACCTTGATTTTATGGAGTCTGTCTAGAAGACATGAGGGAAACCACAGGAATGTGAAGTGGTAGAAAAGTTAGCTGTAATTTTTCAAACCTTTGCAATAAAAAGTATGTAATATACTTTAAAGTACTAACTCCTGAAGGCTGATTTTGTTCCTGCACTTTATGAGGAAACTAACCTAATTCAGAGAAATTTTTCTTATTCAGGAGTTGGTGTTATGTTTACGATATTAAAATTTGTCAATTACTTGATGGAATTTTGTTTTAGAATTTATGTTTTTTAGATAGGTTGGCAGTATATGAACTTTTAAAGTTATCGAGTATTTTTGTAGAATATATTAAAATCCATACCTTTAAAAGATCTAATAATTGTGACCATACACTTGATACTAGAATACTTGCTGATAGTAAAAACAAAAAAAAAGTCCTTGGGATTGTACTGTACCTAAATAACTTTGTATTTTGCTTTTTTTTTTTTTTTTTACTTAACATAATATTGTCCATAATTACTATAAAACTAAAGTTTATTGGATGTTTATTGGTTGTTTTCCTTTTGAAGGCATGAGGTATCTAAAACACTTCAAGTACTGCTGTGAACAGAGTAAACACTATGCTGTATGCACATTAGGTATCATTATTCTAATGTTTACTGTTGTGCAGTAATTAGAAGTTTTACCCGTATGTCCAATCATAAGATGTATCTAGACTCTCAGTATTTATTACTCTTATTTGCCAGCTTGTTCACTGTCATTTAATGACAGTGTCAAACGCTTGGTTTGAAGGCAAGCGTGTTAGGGGGATTGGGTCCTTGTCGACTCTTCAATGATGGGTATCTGAGGGAGAGAACTTCTGAAGTTTTTTGTTTTTTTTTTTGTTTTTTAATAAGGAAACAAATGAGCTTTGAATGTATCATTGTAATAAAAAGTTAAATATGTGGCATTAGAATTTGTCTTAATCCAAAATTGTCTACCTAGAATGAATTATTATTTTCATATTGTAAAAATATGAGGCTAAGAAAAAAAAGCTTCCTAACCTTTCTGTTATTGCTTAATTTTCAAGATTGTATTCTCTCCATATTCACCAAGGTGCTAATTGAAAATATATAAATATGATTATGTAAATGTAATAATTCTTTGAGAATTCTACAATATTCATTATAGCTCTTAACCATGATACAGTCACAGGATTAGGATCAGAGTGAAGTTGGGTGCATCAACAGATGTATTTGCTTTTTCCATTTAAAATTCAGGTCATCCTTTTCTCTTCCCCAACTGACAAATAATGCGAGGGACAGGGAAGAAGATGTTAGGAAAGTAGATGTCCAATTTAAGCAATGAAACTGTAAAAATCAGCCCTATCTTTTAGCACTTGTAAAATTTTACTAATTTAATTTTTTTAAGGTTTACTTATTTTTGAGAGAGAGAGAGTTAGAGCATGAGCAGAAGAGCAGAGAAAGAGAGAGACAAAGAATCCAAAGTAGGCTCCAGGCTCCAAGCGTCAGCACAGAGCCAGATGTGGGACTTGAACTCAGAAACTGTGAGATCATGACCTGAGCCAAAGTCAGATGCTTAACCAACAGAGCCACCAAGGTGCCCCAAGTTTTACTAATTTAAAGCAGACTTGAACAAGTTTGTTTAGTTTCCTATCCTTAAAAAAATGTGTTTCTTTTCTGCTTTATTCTTTCTTGCAGCATAAAGATGCCTATCAGGTGATACTAGATGGTGTGAAAGGTGGTACAAAGGAAAAGAGATTAGCAGCTCAATTTATTCCAAAATTCTTTAAGCATTTTCCTGAATTGGCTGACTCTGCTATCAATGCACAGTTAGACCTCTGTGAGGATGAAGACGTATCAGTAAGTTTATGATTGATGCTTTTCAATGAGCTTCACGTGTTTCACTTGACATTTTCAGACACTTCTGTGTGTAGCTAATGTAATTGAAGTAGCCGTGGTATCAATGCACAGGGAAGTACTGCAGTGTGGTTTGGTGTGACACCATGCTGAAGCTTAAATCTATGTTTGAGAAAATGTTTTCTCTCTTTCACCACCTTTCAACTGTGAAAAATGCATAGACTCAAAATATTTTGTTTTGCTTATCTGTTATCCACTGTTAAAAATGGGTTGTGGCTCACATTTTTTCATAGATTGTTATATGTTGTGCACATGAAATTAGACTAATATTTTTAATCAATTTATACTTGCTTAGATATTTAAAATATTCAGGGTTAGATCGTATAGTTTCAAAATCCCTAAATATGGTGCATAACAGAAAAATGGTCTGTGTATACTTACATGTGATTACTAAAATAAGAAAAAATAGTTTTTCCTTGGAACAGAATTAACCATCAGCATTTCTGGCTGCTGACAGAGATTCTTAAGAACTTTTAACTATTATCTCCTGGCTTTTCAGATGCGGTTAGTGAATTGCCAACATTCCATACACAATTTGCTGCATATAACTCCTCCGTTTTTTTTTTTTTTAAAATATTCCAATAATAATAGTACAATTTTTTAAAATAATAAAATAAATAAGCCAAGACCACATATTTGGAATTAAGTGCACAGTATATATTCACAAATGTTGTATTAAGTAGTCAATAGGGAAATTTTAATGTAAGAGTTACTGGATATGGCATTGCCTCTCCAGGTTCTGCACTATATGCCCAAAGGTGATAAAAATGCAACAGTTACATGTAATCAGTATATAAACTGTTGTTTATGATCTCAAATCTGTCTTCTCCAGTCAGTTAATTGTACCTAACGTCCCTTTTCACCACATTTTGTTTTAGTGATTCTGTGAAGCTTGAATATTACATTGGAGCAAATTATTTCTAAAACTGAGAGAAGCCTCATATTTTATATTTTGGTGATTCATATGCCCCTAATTGTGGTTTCTCTCTGATTTTAGTTTTCTTTCAAGTTTGGGGTTGTTTTCATTGATAGTATTTGGTTAATTTTTTGTTTAAAATCGTATTCAGATTCGACGGCAAGCAATTAAAGAGCTGCCTCAGTTTGCCACAGGAGAAAATCTTCCCAGAGTGGCAGATATACTAACCCAACTTCTGCAGACAGGTAAGGAATTGTAGTATTAACCTTTTATCTAAATGTAACTTCTCTTTGAAATAGTGACTCTGGTTTTAGCTTTATTGTTTCCCTTTTTGGCCAAAGGTGCTACTTTTGATAGAAATTAAATTCTTTTTTTCATTCAGTAGTTTGAAGCTTATTGGATTGTGATTATCTAATTCCTAGTATTGTTTTGTTTTGTTTTTAATTCTGTTCATAAAGACATAGTGACTGGAATCTTTTGGGAATTTTGATGCATCATGATTTTTTGCCCCAGTTTCCTGTAGTTTTTTAATTGTACCATCTTAACATAAGAGTCTTCCTGGTATGGCAGGTCAGGCTTTCAATAGGGAAGATGTATTTTCTTGGTAGTTGAGAAGAATGCTTAGTTACAGGTCTCTTAGTGTAATCTGTGAGAAGCTGTTGAATCGTAGGTTTGAAAATGAAGCAAATGATATTTTTTATTCCTTTTGTACATTGTACTACTTTTTTTCTATCCAGATGATTCTGCGGAATTTAATTTAGTGAACAATGCCCTGTTAAGTATATTTAAGATGGATGCAAAAGGTAAGCCCACCTCTTGTAATAAATTGTGCTTGATGTGTTAAAAAGTTGGGGAGCTTGGTGTTCCTTATTAAGGATAAAGTCAGATTCATCCAGAGATCTGTTTCATAAAAGTTCTGAGTGTTCTTTTAAAAAGCTGCTTAGCGCAAGATATTTGTGACATGAAAAACCAACAGAAGTAATTGCAATAACAGATCAAACTTTTCCATTAGAATTTTGTTGGAGGGGCACCTGGGTGGCTTAGTCACATAATGATTTCATAGTTTGTAGGTTCAAGCCTCACATTGGGCTCTTCATTGACAGCGCAGAGCCTGCTTGAGATTCTCTCTCTCAAAAATTAATAAGTAAACTTTAAAAAGTTGTTTGAAAACTCCCTTTGCCACATTAAAGAAATTCTCCAAAATACCTGGGTTTATTATGAATAATGATTTAAAAAAAGAAAGTCGTTCTTTTTTTTCTAATGTTTGTTTTTGACACAGAGAGAGAGAGAGCACGAGTGGGGGAGGTTGCAGAGAGAGAAGGAGACACAGACTCTGAAACAGGGTCCAGGCTCCAGGCTGTCAGCACAGAACGTGACATGGGGCTCGAACCCACAAACCTAAGCCAAAGTTGGATGCTCAACCAACTAAGCCACCCAGGCACCCCGAAAAAAGAAAGTTATTTTTTTTTTTTTTTTTTTTTTAATGTTTATTTATTTCTGAGAGAGAGAGAGGGAGAGAGACAGTGTGAGCAGGGGAGGGTCAGAGAGAGAGGGAGATACAGAATCTGAAACAGGCTCCAGGCTCTGAGCTAACTGGCAGCACAGAGCACAACGTGGGGCTCAAACCCCTGAACCGTGAGATCATGACCTGACCTGAAGTCAGATGCTTAACTGACTGAGCCACCCAAGCGCCCCAAAGAAAGTTATTCTTAAACTAATTCTGAATCCATGAACAAAGCATATGATTACTGTTATGGTTGGGGCTATAGAAATTTCAGACTAATTTAGCCAGAATCAGTGATATTCAGGATGCTTGTTAACTCACTAGAAAAGAAATGTGGTTAAATGAGTTAAATGGAGAAACTTCATTACAATATAGAATTGACTTGCTACACACAACTATTTTTTTTGCAGGGACGTTAGGTGGCTTGTTTAGCCAAATACTTCAGGGAGAGGACATTGTTAGAGAACGAGCAATCAAATTCCTTTCTACAAAACTTAAGACTTTACCAGATGAGGTCTTAACAAAGGAAGTAGAGGAACTTATACTAACTGAATCCAAAAAGGTAAGCTTCAGTCATCATTTAACAGGACTTCTGTAAAGTAAAAGAACGTATTTGAAATTAGTAATATTCATTAGTGTATGTAGCTTTTGTATAAAAGTTCCATTAGAACCACCAAAGAATATCCAGCTTTTCTTCTGTTGTATTTTGCACGTTGGTCACCAATAATAATGAATTGGCATATTTAAGGGATGCGATCACATTTAAATCTTTTGTGGGGTTATCCTCAAAATTTATACATTCTTCAGCACTCTGTACAAATCATTTCCTTCAGGAAATTTTACCTAATTTCTACCCGTCTCCCCCATTTTAGGGTATTCTCCTGTAGTATTCTGGATCATTTCAAAATGAAAATGAAACACATTGAAGTGCCTGTTTTTTCATCTTACTCCATGAGCTCAGGAGACCATGCTTATTTGTGCTGCCAGCATCTAGCATAGTTAGAGATGCTAAGTTGACAAGATGTGTCACAGCTAACTTTTCACTCATAAAGTGCCAAAATTTGGAGATCGTTATTTTTATATATATGTTGAGGAAAATTCAAAATTTTCTCTAACAGTACCACTCCCTTGCTCACTGATGAGATTTCTTTAATGTGAGCGAAAGGAGCAGCTCTCCAGCTGGGAATTTCAATGTATCCTCTGGCTAGTAGTCTTGTGGAGTATGTTAGGATTGCTCATTTCTTCAGTCAGTGAACAGAAAGGCTTAGACTGGCTCATATGGAGCCTTGAGACTTGCATGGCCTCATATTCTGTATACAGTTGCCATATTAATGTGAATGAGCTACTTTTTATGTATTTAAAATAATTTTTTTTAAACGTTTGTTTAGAGACAGAGCACAAGCTGGGGAGGGGCAGAGAGAGAGACACACACACAGAATCTGAAATAGGCTCCAGGCTCTGAGCTGTCAGCACAGAGCTGGATGTGGGGCTCGAACCCATGGACTGTGAGGTCATGACCTGGGCCAAAGTCGGCACTTAACTAACTGAGCCACCCTGGCACCCCTGCTTTTATTTACTTTTAAAGATTTTATTTTTTTAAGTAATCTACACCCAATGTAGGGCTCAAACTTAAAACTGTGAGATCAAGAGTCGTACGTACCCTTTACTGGCTGAGCTGGCCAGGTGCTCCAAGCTGCTTTTAAATACAGGAAACTGAACCTAATTTGACAGCTGACTATAGAATTTTCCTCCCCACCCTCCCCCCCCCAATCGCCCTACCCCTTGCCCCGGTGAAGAGCCTTTTTAGATATCTTTTTTCGAACTATTCTTCTATGAAATTTTAATGCCACAAATATACAGTATCTGCTTATGCACTGTTTGTATATCTGTGCTTCATACATAAAAAAGAAAAATTGGATTTCAAGAACCACATTTTACCCCTCTGGAGACAGTATTGTGCCCTGTTGAGAAGGTGTGGTGTGTTCTGAAGCTAAATTTGACTGAAGCCAGGTGTCCTCTCATCAGTATTTCAGAAGTATTATTAGCAATCTGACTTTAGTAACTGAAATAAATTTGCTACACTGTTTTAATATTGATGTTTCCCATTCAAGTGATAACCATACTATTATTCTGAATTGTCTCTTTGCAGGTCCTAGAAGATGTCACTGGTGAGGAATTTGTCCTGTTCATGAAGATACTGTCTGGGTTAAAAAGCTTACAGACAGTGAGTGGAAGACAGCAACTCGTAGAGTTGGTGGCTGAACAGGCTGATCTGGAACAAACCTTCAATCCCTCAGATCCCGACTGTGTGGACCGGCTCTTACAGTGCACTCGGCAGGCAGTCCCCCTCTTCTCTGTGAGCTCTGTGTTTTATGTAGCTGTTGTTTTGATTACTCTATTAGCTTATATTTCTGTGGATTCTCACTTGAGGGTTCACCTCAAACCTTTTCATACAAGTAGTAATAGTGGAGTGAGTATTTACTGGGTGGGGTTGTTGAGAGCCCAGAGCAGCCAGAAATTTCTTTAAAATCTTGCTAGAGACTTTTTAAAAAGTCTAGAGCATTGTGCATCATATTTTATGATTTGGCTGAGTTTCTAAACCATTTGGTGTAGTAATTTAGCTTTTTTTTTTGCCCTTAAATTTTGTAACAGATTGTTGTTCTAGGTAAATATACTCTTTATCTCTGGCTTTGTGCTTCTCTACTCTTGACACTTCCAGGATGTACATAGAATAGTTTGAAAAATAAAATTTAAAAGGACTCTTCCTTTTTGAAAAATGTACAGTCTGAAATTCAGCACTGAAATATCCCCCCAAAATTTGGCCTGAGCATTAAGGACGAGTTTAAAAGTCTACAGACATCCCAGTGCTCCAGAAGACTTTGGAGTACAGTATATGTTGTCACAAAGGTTATTCTGGAGTGCTCTGGGGTGTGCGCCTTGTTGTATTTGTAACTACACTGCCTGATGCTGTGGTGCTCAGCATTTGTTGAATCACATTCTGCCATCACATTTGAGAGAATATTTCCCCCCTTTCTTTGACAACTAATGTTTTTTGTATTTTTGCAGAAAAATGTGCATTCCACAAGGTTTGTGACTTACTTCTGTGAGCAGGTTCTCCCTAACCTCAGTTCCTTGACTACTCCAGTGGAAGGCCTTGATATCCAGTTGGAGGTAAGAGAAAATGCCTGCTGTTAGTACTGAAAAGACATTCTCATGTTCTAACAAAAATATAAACCACCAACTAACTTAGAGATCTGATTTCTAAGAGACTAAAGGTGTGATGGCTAGCGAGTAATCTATCCCAGGAGTAATCACTTACGGAATGCTTTATGGATTAGGGAATGCTGCAGTGGGAAAGCACTGCCTATAATGTTCATGATACTCGCTATCTTTGTAGCCTTGATACTTTTAAACAAGGTATTTAATTCATGGTTGTTCCTATCTCTATCCATATTGATAGACCCAGATTTAAACAAATTAACACAAAATATCTTTTATCCCTTCTCCAATAGAATTGATAGCTTTCTCCTTTGTATCTCAACTCTAATGTACATACACATTTTTTTTCACATCACATGTAACATTTTACATTTATTTATATCTCTCCACATTTAACTGATTCATCTCTATATCCCCAGAATCTGTTGTGGAGTCTGATTCTGAAAGGCAATTAGTAATTGTTGAATTGAGCTGAAATAATGGAATATATTTAGGCTAAAGAAGAGTACCACTGTTTACTGAGACTGTCATTTGCTTCAAATGTCCTGGGTTTGGCTTATTAGACTGGGATTGAGTATGAGAGGTGGACCCCAAGAATAGTGGCAATTTCCAGTGCTTTGAGTTAGTGTCCAAAGACTAAATTTAATAGCAAATAAGGCCTACTCTAAATATTCGTAAGTAATTCTTTGCTGTTAAGAGTTCTTCCTAGGTATCTCTTCATAGTACCCTACTAAGCTGTAACAGAAATCAGCCTTAAAAAGTTATCTATAATTATTCATATTTTACAGCCCTTGCCCATTCAAAAAAAATACTAATAGCAGTGAATTGTGTGTTTTAGGTATTGAAACTATTGGCAGAGATGAGTTCATTTTGTGGTGACATGGAAAAGCTAGAAACAAATTTAAGGAAACTGTTTGACAAGTTATTGGTAAGAACTTTTTTCTTTCTTTATGGCATAGTAAGTCTATGTGCCAGAGTCTAATGGTGTGGTGTCATTTCTAGAGAACCAGCTTTTGAAATTCAGATTAGATAGAATAATTCTAGCAAGTGTTTTTAGTTGCTCAGGCCACATGTTACCTACTTTTAAAAGAGAATCTTTGGCATCTCTTCCGTTGTTGATACTTTGCATAAAAGATAACACAGGATTTATATAGTAGGTCTTTCTGCTATTCCTTTATCAAAATATTTTTCACATTTGCCCCAGGTCACCATCCAGGTTGCTGCCCAAGGCCAAGTAGCTTTAGCAGCCAGGAAATAAGGTCATCTAAGTCATAATTGTGGAGAAAATGGGCCATCTGATAAAATCATTATCTGCATCACCAAGTGATTTTCTTGTTGGATGTGAGCAGTTGTGTAACTGACACAGTGATAAGCATCAGACCTGTAGTATGAATTGACTTATCCCACATCCAGTGCTCTCTCTTACAGACGCGTATAACACTTGCTGGGGTGTTACAGCACTCCTATTGAATGCCTTTGGCAGTACTTGGAATGTAAGGAGAGTCAAACAGTGTAGTAGATAATGTTCAGAAAAGATTTTGGGAATTAGCATCAATTTCGGGGGCACCTGGGTGGCTCAGTTGGTTAAGCATCTGACTCTTGATTGCAACTCAGGTCGTGATCTCATGGTTCCTCAGTTCAAGCCATGAGTCAGGCTCTTTGCTAATACTGTGGAGCCTGCTTGAGATTCTTCCTTTCTCTTTGCCCCTCCCTTGCCTGTGCTCTCTCTGAAAATAAATAAATAAATAAAAACTTTAAAAAAAAGTTGATTTTCAATGGCAAACCTAGATTGAATCCTGACTCTTCAAGCTTACTAAGTCTTTCATCATAGAAAAATTACCTAAGCTTCAAGAATTCCAATTCCTTCATTTGCATAAGTGCTTAATAAATGTTAGCTACTTCATTGTCAGTGGTAGTAGTAGCAGCAGCAACTGTGACAGGGTAACATGGAGAGTTGACAGGCTGGATATTTATCTCTTAGGTAAAAGGGATATCTTACCTAAATTTATGATCTTGGCAGTTTTTAATGCTTCATGCCTTAAAAGCATGCCCTGTACTTACCTCACTATTTGTTAATAACTAGAGCATTTCCAGCAGATTGCAAATATCTTTATACTTTCATCTTTTAGGAATACATGCCTCTCCCTCCAGAAGAAGCAGAAAACGGAGAGAATGCTGGTAATGAAGAACCCAAGCTACAGTTCAGTTATGTGGAGTGTTTGTTGTACAGCTTCCACCAGTTGGGCCGAAAACTTCCAGATTTCTTAACAGCCAAATTGAATGCAGAAAAGCTCAAAGATTTCAAAATTAGGTGATGTATGATTGAAGTGGTCCAGTCCCTGGCAAAGATGATGGCTGTCTTGACACTCCTTTGGTTTTGTGTTTGTTGGTTTTGTTTTTGTTTTACAAGAGTTCTCTCCCCACCGTGCCTTACCCCAGTAGAACAAAATGGAAGATCCATAAAACAGCAGTGTATATAAACCTGTGGCATAGCAAATCCATGTAGGAGGAAAGAACTTTTTCTAAAATGGACCTGAGCTCTCCTTACTTGCTTTATGATCCCCAGCAGGTTCCCAATCTCTCTTACCCCCAAATTGTCCTTAGCAGTTACATTAAATAATAATAGCACTTGCCTCATGGAGTTGTGGGAATATCAGAAAGTGAATGGAAAGCTTGAGCACAGTGCCTGGCACATGTGCGTACCATAACCTGGAGCTGCTATTGGTGGTGTCTTAGAGTGTTCTGGAGGGGCACCACTGAAGAAATCATGTCATTTTTTTTAACAGCTTCATATCTTATATTTTGAAATCTTTGTCCACTATATCATCTGTTACTGTCCTCTACTCTTTGCTAAGGCAGAGGTTTAATACTTGGTGAAGCATTTGATAAGCAGCAGCAAGTTAAGAAATTACTCCACAAGTTAAATAATGCCAGGTGGTTAAGTGGAGTTCCTAGAAGTCAGCAGGGTGGAGCTATGTACTGCCCTTCTTCACCTATTATTTGAGAACAAACTTGAAAAGAGTTACCTAGGACCCTTTGAGATTTATATGAGTTTATAACAAATTCTCAGATCTGCAGTTTTGTTTTACTTTTAAGACTTTGGGATGTAAACAGGTCAAACACTGTCCCTTCTTGGCAGATAAATACATAGAGGTTAAGTGATTCGTCTAAGGTCACTTGACCTTCATCTGGCCAATGAAAGAGTAGAACCCAGGCCATCTGACTCTAATCTGTGGCTTCTGAATGATTCCACTGACCATGCCTTGCAGGTAACATAAAGAGCACAGTACTACAAACCTTTCCCTTGCCAGGTTGAGTATGGATTTGTTACCATTTTTGATGAAGGAAGACTGCTTTTATTTCACTTATATATCTCTTGGGATTATATATTGATAATTTAAAAACTTCTCAAAAAAATTAATCTTTACTAGTAAAGAACATTTAGCTATAGTATAAGATTCTCTGCATTTAAAAACAAAGTTGAAGTTGTAATTTGCTAATTAACCAGTACTTTTTTATTTAGGCTGCAGTACTTTGCCCGGGGTCTGCAGGTTTATATCAGACAACTTCGCTTGGCTCTGCAGGGTAAAACAGGCGAGGCCTTAAAAACAGAAGAGGTAAGAAGAATAGGTCACTTCTTGTAAAGAAATGTTTTATAATAGCCAGAGTGGATTACAAATTCAGACTCCAGGACACCTGAGTGGCTCAGTCATTGGAGCATACAACTTGATTTTGGCTCAGGTCATGATTCCAGGGTTGTGGAATTGAGTCTTATTTTGGGCTCTGCTTAAGATTCTCTCTCTGCCCCTCTGCCCTGCTCACATGCATGCACGCTCTCTCTTAAAAAAAGAAAGAAAGAAAGAAAAACATTCAGGCTCAATTCATGTATTGAAACATAGCAGGTAATACAAATCTATGTTGAAGATACGATGTTAGAAGATTACAGATTTAGTTGTTTGCTAAGTTATATTTTTATCCTTGTTGAAATCTTTTGTTAAAACATTTCCAAGTTTGTGAACAGTGTTACCAAACTTAGATACATACCAGTCTTTCACAAGGTCTCATTACGATTGACATTTGTGATATTTAAAATTTTACCTTTTTGCTAACCAAATACCAATTTGCATTGAAAAAAGATTAAACTGCTAATTCTACAATAGACTGTATGGGGGGGGTTGGATTTTTCTGATCTCACCTATTTTGATATCTTCACCCCCAATCCTAATGAAATATTTTAAGCTTTCATTGTGTCTTTGTCTAACTTAAACTGATTATTTCTAAAACAACTATGCCCATATGACCTGTCCCTCACTCATTTTTTTTCAGATAAATGGTAAAAAACACTAATGTGAAGGGAATATAAAGATTATTTGCTTTCTTTGCCATCTCTTCACTGGTTTAGATTTAAAAAATGGGAATAAGCAGAAATGATTCTGAAAGAGAATTACTCTAGTTCTATATGGGAATGGAATATGCATTATAAAAGTTATTGGCACTTTTTCTTTTCCTTTTGCAGAACAAGATTAAAGTTGTTGCATTGAAAATAACAAATAATATCAATGTTTTAATCAAGGTAAGGCTTCCTTTCTTACCGAGTCCTCCACTAGAAAGCTAGTGCAAGAGGTTGTCCATGTGTCTGTAGGTCTATAATAGTACTATTAAAGCGAGATACCATTGTATTCCAGATGTTTGGCCTTTTATTTATTTATTTTTTAAATGTTTTATTTTTTTCTGAGATAGAGAGAGAGAGAGACAGCGTGAGCAGGGGAGGGTCAGAGAGAGAGGGAGACCCAGAATCTGAAGCAGGCTCCAGGCTCTGAGCTAGCTGTCAGCACAGAGCCCAACGTGGGGCTCGAACCCATGAACCCTGAGATCATGACCTGAGCCGAAGTCAGACACTTAACCAACTGAGCCACCCAGGCACCCCATGTTTGGCCTTTTAAACCTTTATGCTTTTTACAATACCAAGTGACACTTCTGTAACTATTATAAAATCGTACATTGTTTTATTTAAAAGCTATTGCAGGGGCACCTGTGTGGCTCAGTTGGTTGAGTGTCCAACTTCAGCTCAGGTCATGATCTCACAGTTCTTGGGTTCAAGGCCCACATCGGGCTCTGTGCTGAATGTTTGCTCAGAGCCTGGAGCCTGCTTTAGATTCTGTCTCTCCTTCTCTCTGCCCCTCCTCCACTTGTGCTCTGTGTCTCATAAATTAATAAATGTAAAAAAGAAAAAATTAAAATTTTTTAAATCTGCTGCAGAAAATACTGCAAAGGGAGGCGTGCAGATTTTTTTCTGGCCCAAAGCATTGAAGAAAATACATTTAGGCTCAGAAACTTCACTGACTTAAGTTCTGGTGGTCTTAATATTTTCAAATGGCCAGTAAAATTCAAGTCTGTGTAGCACATGAAATGTTTCTCTGTGGTTCTTTTCTGTTAACTTGTCTGTGTAATAAACTGAGAGCTTTCTGTACTGTAGAGTACGGTGTATCTTACCATTAAGCTATAAATACCGGGTATTTTAGTCCTATTTACCCTCCACAAGTGTCCATAAACCTAAACAAAAGACAATCTGAGAAAAAAACCGAATCACAACAAAGTAACCATCATTTTTGTTCCTACAAGTTAATGTTCTTATAGCCAGGTAGGGAAAAGATATATTTGTTAATAGCTAGAGCACAAACCTGACAGTCACAAAATTAGGACCAGTGGTGTACCTTAACACCAGTCTGGTAAAGATCCCATGGAATAATTATTTTTTTATTAGAAGAGAGAGGAAAACTTTTCAGAAAAAGCAATAGTGAGACATTGAAGGATGAGTTTATCATGGAAAGAGAAGAGGTATGAACACTCTCATCTCCTAAGAAAACTTTTATAATAGCCACCACTTTTTTCAAACCTTAAGTATAAATTAATAATTTCAAATAGTGAATTCATATATTAAAGTGTGAGATTTTTGAGAAATAATTTATATATGTTTCTGTACAAGTTTAAGGCATACAACATGATTGGTATACCTATATGGTGAAACAATGACCAGAGTCAGCCAGCATCCATTTTCTCATATGAATTAGTAAAATCCCTTTCTTAATAACATCACATGCTAAATTAGTCCAGCTAGAAATCTCAAGCATTTTTAATTCAAAGGGCTTTATACATTGACTGATACCCTACATTTATCTGGCACGGTGGAGTTAAGTTTTATATAGTAGGATGTGGTCTTTTGTAGCATATTTAGCTGTGGAAATAACTCAGTTTACGTTTATTAGATTTTACCCACATATAAAATAAATGATTTTTACATAGCTGTAAAATGTTAGGTGATAAATGTTAGGTGAAATACTAAGAATAGATATGTATAGAAATCTATCCAAGTTTTGAGGATATCATGAGGTCAGATTACTTCAGTTCTCGATTACTTCTAACATTTAAATTCAGCAAACATTTGCATTATTACATATTGATAATTTCGTATTTAAATCCTGTGGGTTTTTCCTTTATTGGTAATTTGGAGTTATTTAAGAAAAACAGAATTAGCCAGGCCTTTAGTTTTGTTTTTTTTAACTGCTTAAAAGTCTGCAAAAGTAAATGCAGGCTGTACCGTTCTTTTTCCATTAAAGCACCTTGACAATTGCATCTGTGCAGAAGAAGTCCTTATTTATTAACTTTATTAAAGCTGATACATTTTGCTCTAGAACTCAAAATGACCATCATTTACAAAAGACTTAGCTACAGTTTCTGAAGTGATATACACAAAGTAACATTTAATGAATTGTAATAGATGGAGTTTCTAAAAATTGTTTACTTTTTCTATTGCAGTTTTTTTAGGTGAACAAGAAGGATAGATTAAAACTTTCTCTCCTCAACTGTGTCTTTAAGATGTCTCTGTGTTTCTTACCGTCACGACCAAATGTGTTAGAAATCTTGCCTCATTTTGTCTTTTCAGGATCTCTTCCACATTCCTCCTTCTTATAAAAGCACTGTAACATTATCCTGGAAACCTGTGCAGAAGGTTGAAATTGGGTAAGATGTATTTAAAAGACATTTGAGTGTTCTAATATTTATGATTTACAAATACGAAAATCTGAATTTAGGTGTTATATTTACTGTACAAAGTGGCACTTTATTTAAATAATCTAGGTAAGATGTTAAAATAGGACAGTTAGAAGCATGACTTAAACTGTAAGGTCTAATTGCAGTATCTATCAAATAAACTGGTGGAATACAACACTGGAGTTTTCAGGCTTGTCTGTACTCCTGTGGCATAACTAGACTTCTGACAAGTTTTATAAACTGAGTCATTTGCCTATTTAGTTCTTGAAGCTACATATTCCTTAAAGCCTTGTAAATGCCTTCTGACATTGTCTGCATAACTAAGGCACAGTTAATTTGAATATATCAGAACATTATTTCCCTTTTTCTGATGTGACTGTCATCTTTAGGATGTCTTTTGCAACCCATGCACCGAATTACATGTGTATTAATGGCCTCTAGTAATAGAATTTTTTTATTCCAATATTTCTTACCATTATAGGCAAAAGAGAGCCAATGAAGATACGACTTCTGGTTCACCACCCAAGAAATCTCCAGCAGGACCAAAAAGGGATGCCAGGCAGATTTATAATCCTCCTAGTGGGAAATATAGCAGCAATTTGAGCAACTTTAATTATGGTGAGCGTTTCCGTTTGGGTACAAGCAATATGAGAAATTAGGCAGAAACCGTTGTGCTTGATTTTAATTATTAACTGTATGTAGTAATATATATAATAGCTCTTTCCATGGATTTTTCTGAGTTAGCTTGGGGAACTAACTCAAGCTATTGGGGAAACAAGTGACCCCATTCCTTTATAATCCTCCCTTGTAGACTTACTGAATTGAGCATGCAACACTAAGAACTTGGAAAAGAAAAATCCTCCACTTGTATTCAGAGGACGGAACCAAAAAAAAAAAAAAAGTTGACACAAACCATCCATTCCTCATTCTCCCTATTGTAACTTCAGGCCAAGACATTCTGTGCATTCTCCCTCAGGAGTAGATATAGCTTCTGGCAGATGTGATGATATTAATGATCCTTCTTGGACCTTATCTGCCTACTGCTTGTCCTTCCATCTCCTTAACTACTACAGAAGAAGTCCTGGAAGTGGAGTCGGATGTTAATGTGTCACCTGGCAAGGACAGTGTGTCCCGTTGCACTCTCCCCACTGCCTGGAGTGCAGTCTCCCTGTTAACTGTAGCCACTGGTGCCAGGAGAGCTTCCCTCCAGTCCATTCTCTCCCACTGCTGTAGAAGAAGAGACGTTGGTTCCGTATTGACTTGTATCCTCTTAGATCCTTTCAAAGAAGAATGGATGAAAACATCACTGAGTCAGCTCCTTAATCTTGTTTAAGAAGACAAATCTTAATAATACTGGCAATCAAATGTAATTAGGATGGGTCTTATTTATCAGTCAGAATTAATTCTGGAGTAATATCTTTAAAAAAGTACATTCTGAAACAGTTCTCAATAATTGTTTTCAAGGTGAGATAATCGTGACATTAAAGTCTTCGTACAGTAAATTCCTTTAATATCTGAGCAAGCAGCTTACAGAAAGTTGATTTTTAGATTGTGAAATGAACCCTTCTACTTGTCAGACTCTGGCAAATTTAGTGTAGGAAAGATCACTGAATTCTTAACTATGTAAATGTGCATCTCAGCCTCTTACTTGAAAAATGGGGATAATACAGAGCTCTTAAAAACTTCAAATAAGAGGGGCAAGAAAACCCTAAAGAATATTTGTGCAGGCATTTTGTAAATGGAAAGGATTCTGTTACTTCACTGCAACAAAGATGGTCTTTCACTTGTATGATTTGTGGTGTCTATCGGAATTATTCTTAGAAACCACTGTTATCTCAGATACTGTCTTCATTTGACTTAAATGAAAGTAGTCAAGAGCTATGACAATACATAGAGAATTGTATTCCTTTTCACTTGGGCAAGTGAGTTATTCTTGAGTTGCCATGAGGATTCTGCCCTATGAAACTTACTGCCTATTTTATGGTGAGAATTAGATGACATATGCATGTGGAAAAGAGATGTGAAAAATGCAGAGCCTTAGATTGTGATTCTTTTTTTCCACTATCAGTGTGAAAAAAATATTTTTTGTGTCTGACATTATAGCCCCTTAATATTCTTAAAGGGGTCAACCTTGTAGTTGGGGTGGTGGTCATAAACACAACTACAAAGCAAACTAAATCCTCGTCTTTTTCTTGGAAAGAAGCAGCCGAATTTCTGCTGGCATTTTACATTTCAGATGTGAACGTTAACAGGCTATAAGTATTCTCACAGTGGCATTCTCAAGAGTTTTCTTGGTTTTCTTTTACCCATTGAGTTGAAAACAGTTTTTGATACTACAGATGAGATTTGGTGGACTTATCTACGTCAAGTTTTTTCCTACCTTCTTTATGTCCTTTCCTTAGGAAACTGACAGTGTGTCCGGAAGAAAGAAGCATGGTGCATTTTTTTCTTCTGGGATGTCATTGTTGCCTCAGAATTGGAGGGGAGAACATGTTTTATGTTCTCAATGTCTTTTAGTACATAATTTTGTTAACCACTTTCCAGTGTTAAAGTTATGTATGCTGAGGGATTAGTAAATTGACTCCTTTTGATTATTAGAGAACCAAGTAGTATTAATATAACTGCCTTATTAACAGTGAAAGAAGTAGGCTGTGTCAGTGTGAGAGGCCTGAACTCTTTCATCATAGAAGAACCAGAATTGGCAATTGTTCTTTGAGTCCAGGCAGGCATATGTAGACATTCTTGTCCTTATCCAAGTATATCACTTTACTAACCAAAGTCTCTTACTTGCTTTATAAAAATTAACTCAGTTCAACTTCTTGGTGCATTTTTAATCAAATTATTTATAAACACCTGCCCATGTTTAGTTTTCCCTCCTACACAGAGTTGCTCTGTAACCCGGAAGTACTAAGCATGGTATATTTTCTGACTTGTGTCCTGCATCTTTTACCCATTTTGAATGTAAAAATAACTTTTAAAGTATCACTTTAGCTGGGAGCAGTGGTTTTTTTAAGTAAGTAATGTAAGCTTGAAACCACTGAAGAAATCATGAAAGTGCAGAATGGTTCCTCAGGATGGAGCTCTTGGGAAATAAAAAAAATTTGGAGACTCCCTGAACGGTGTAGAAATCACCCATTGCAGGTAAAAAAGAAAGAGACCATATAGAGAATGATAACTGTGTCAAACAGTATCTTCATACAGTGTATGTAATATACTCCTTAGATATAGTTGAACAATAGAGGGTAAGTAACCCAGTTCTGCACTTTAAAATTGATTGAAAAACATTTGAAAGGGTGAGTTTTAGTAGTCAGTTTATACATAATAATGATATTTATGAAGATAATTTCTTAAGCGTGTTGTTAAATTAACTGAGAAATGAAGGTTTTATAATGAGCACGGTAGTGGGAGAATGTGCCTAACATCTGCATATATGAGGCCAAGTCTTAGAAATGCTCGAGTTACAGCCTACATAAGGGTTGCTATACGCCCTGATGCACTCTTGCATTTCTGGGAGAATCTTACCCTCAGACCACCTCTGATTTTCTCAGTATATTCAGGGAGTAACAAACTTGATGGTTTCATTTAAATGGCTTTTGAACTCATCAGCTCAGAAAAATGTGTCCTGGCAGGAGAGATGACTTTGAAACAGATCCCATTCTAGTACACATGTAAATGTTGGCTAAGCTGGGGAATAGTCGTTACTTTTCTAACTCAAGGGTTGCTGGAGGAAAAAAAAAGACATCAAAACAGTACCCAAATAAGGTATCATATTTCTAACCATAATGCCCACCATACCCCCCAAAAAATGGATTGCAATATGGACTTAATAGGAATTTTTCAAGTATCCATCCAACATTATGGATCCAAAATGGCAACACCTGGTGGTTTTTATTGCTCCTACCAAGACTGCTGCAATGAGGAAGTTTGAAAGTTCATTGAAGAGATTTGATTTCTGGAATTAGAAGTTTGAGACTCTTAACTCATTTATATATAATGTAAAGTCCAACCTTGCTGGTAACTTCAATTAGCTTTCTTCACTGGAGAGATTCCTTTAAGGAATATTTTTCTGGAGCTATAAAAGAGACTAACCAATGAATCAAAGACTCCTTCTACTGTATGACACAAGTGACTTGATTTTTCAGCAAAAGATATGCTTAATTTACATTACTAATCTGAATACTGTATACTTAACACCTTTTGGGCCATACTCTGAGCAGCTCATGTAGCTGATAAAGTAGTGAGAAAAGCTGTCGACATTTATATCAGCATTTTTATGAGTCCAGGTGCTTGATATATTGCGACCAAATAAATTGCCTATTCACAGCATTTCAAAGGTACATTTTTCAGTCTAGCTTAATTTTTCAAAATTGATCATTGATAATTTAAGCTATTTTGCACTCATGGCACTAGCTTTGGAGGCCAGTGGGATTTTTGTTAATTCCATGTTAAGTATAGAATGTTTAATAATTTAATTATCTTTGATAGTGATAGGCACACCAGTAACTAAGAAATGCAGTTGTAGCATTATCACTTTGAAATACCTAGTTAGGAGGATACATTTAATTGAGTACCTATTCTGCATAGATTTGGCACCTTGCCATACGTGTGTATGTATGTTGCTCTGGTTTATGCACACATTGAATTTGTAGACAAGCAGAATACCAGTGCTGCTTTACAGAGTCTACTGCTACATGCAGAGCTACTAGCTACATGTCTTCTGTATTTGCTTTACCATGAAGTCCTGAGCAAGACCTAAACCCTTGTTCGCTTTTTCGTAGAGCAGAGAGGAGCCTTCAGGGGAAGTAGAGGTGGCCGAGGTTGGGGAGCACGAGGAAATCGTAGTCGGGGAAGACTCTACTGAATAAGACATCACATTCTTCAGCATTGTCATGAGCTTAATATACTTAAATTCTACTACTCATTGGATTGCTGGGGATGTCCCTTTAAAAGGACTGCTGCCTTCAGCTAAAAACTTAATGTTCTTTATACCTTTGTATGTATGATCTACTTTTGTAACAGACCATGGTTGTGTCCAAGGTAAAAACCACAGTGATATTTTTGAATGCTTTGTTCACAATCTTGACTTGTTTTTGCGATATCATTATTATTCAAACTTCATCTTGTGAATCTTTTACTTTCAACATCTTGGCAATTTGTTACTGAAAGCTATTCAAGTCTAAAATGTAATGAAATTCTGTCCATTTTTGGTAACTGGTAAAGATGATCAGTTGAAAGTTTATGGATTTCCTCTACCCTCTGTCATGTTTTTTTTTTCTTTTGCCCAATATATGGAGAAGAGTAATGGTCAATCTTAACATTTTATTTTCATTGTTTTTTAAATAAAGCTGCTAGGCATTTCCTACCTAGTGTTATAAAAGCAAAATACTTATCAGCTTTCTTAAAATGTAGAAATGACATTACATTTTTAGGAGGAAGTAAGTTACTTTGCACTTCTTACTTAACTCTTCTCCATATGTTGATATAAACTTTGACTATGGATCTTACTATTTGCATAGAAATATGTATGTATAATATACATACATAAGCATGTGTGTGTGTGTTTGTGTGTGTGTATACACACATGCTGTGAAACTTGACTACACAACATAAATCATTTTTTAAAATTCCTGGAACCGGTAGTCTTTGACACGGTGATGATCCTTTTAACTCTGAATCCATTGTTGTTACCTAGGTTTTCCTCCCAGTAGTGAGGGATTTTGAGTCAGTTGCACTTACATGATTATTGTTATTTAAAACTAAAAATAAACAAAGGCTGCATTTTCAAAGATAAATTTGGAGATCCCTGCTGGAGAAATACAGCCAAAATATTGAATCGGATGTACATATAGGTTTCTACAGGATGAGATAGAATAATTTAGAATTTGGAGATTTAATAACCAGGGCAACCCAGGAAAAGTGACTTGAAAACATGGTGTACCAATAAGTAAGGGATGCTCTCTCGGTTTGCTTTTGCCACTTTCAAGATTTTAACTTCTCAGGTTATTAATCAAAATTATTGTATAAGTTAGCTAATAGAATCTTTAGGTTAAAACAACAGACGGGGGGTTTGTGGAGTGTTTAATGTCATGGGCATTTTTAGTAGCATAGGCCCTTTGCTCTGCATTTGAATGTTCCATATATTTTTGTTCCACAGTTAATCTTCCCTCCCCCAAGTTTGCTATTCAGATTCAATGCCTGAATGACATTTTCTAGTAGTTTAACATATTTTTTGAGGAATAGCTCGTGATTCCAATGCAGGTGTCTTCATTACTCTTACCTCTACAATGGGGAAAAAGCAAAACCCCTTTGTTAGAATTACTGCACATGTTTATGGGAAAAATATTTTTTAAAGACTAGAATGATACAAGTGAGCAAAAGAAGTTGGTCAGCTTGACTATGGAGTGGTGGCAATAATCTCTAAAACATTCCAAAAGACTGAGCTGAACCTAAGCTCCCTTGGAATCTGAACATAGGAACATGGAATTGCCATTTGAAAACTGTGACCAGATAATCTGGACCTCAGACGCATCAGCCAGTGGCCGAAAGCCATTTCAAGTACAGTAACTATCGGGACTACAGTTACACAAATTTCAACATGAAGTGTAACTTTTCCTCTTTTTCCTTTTTAAAGCATATTTGTAAACTCAAAGCTGAGCAGAAGTGACTTTACTTTCTCAAGTTTGATACTGAGTTGACTATGTTCCTTCCTTTGCCACCTCATTGTCCCCCTTACCTTTCCTAAGGCAATAGTGCACAACTTAGGTTATTTTTGCTTCAGAAATTTGAATGAAAAACCTTCATGCCATGTATTTTTTTTCTTTTGCAAGACACCTGTTATCACCTTGTTCAAATGTAAATGTTCCCTTTATGCTTTTGAAATAAATTTCCTTTTGTAATTTTGTTTTGTGTCTTGATGTGTTATGATTATGTTAACTAAAGATTCCTAAACATCCATTATTGATTGCTTCTATTTTGCCAAACAGTCAGTACTGCCAAGCAGTGTGTTAGACCATGAAAATATAAAAGATGGACAAGTTGGGTCTGCCTTCAAGGAGTTCAGTCTTGCAAGTTATCTTTAATTTTCATCCTTCGAGATTTATTTTTAAGAGCTAATATGCTTCTGAAAAAAAGGATCTGTTTATTTTTACTGAAGCAAAACAGCTACATACTTGCCAAATCATTGTGAAATAATTTCCATCTTCAAGTTAATATGTAAAGCAAGTCAGAATGTCTTAATTTGACTGCCAGTCTTTACTAAAAATCTTCCTGAAGTAGCACCGAGAATGGCTAGGAGTGTTTTAAAGCCAAAATTTAAATGGATCAGAACGAGGTAACAAAAGTCCCTTGGTGATCACAACCAGTCCTGTGGCTTTAATACCACCTACATGCTGAGAACCGCCACATTTCCGTGTCCATGATTTCTTGCCCTGGAGTTTCATGGTAGCCTTCTGATTGATCTCCCTGCTGTTGCATTGAACTCTTTACCGCCTGTTCTAAACATGACAGCAGAGATCCACTCCTGCTTGAAGCTGTTCAGTGGCTCATTTCAGAATAAAAATCAAAAACAACGCCATGGCTTTTCATCCCTGACCTCAGCTGCCACCCTTCCTCTCCATCACTCTGCCCCCGTGAGCTGGCTTCCTGCAGCCTAGGCAGACACACCTGCCTTCGGATGTTTGCACTTGCTGTTCCCTCTAGCCACTCTTTCCCTTCTGTCTGCCTGTCTAACTCCATCTCCTTCAAATCCTCAAAAGTTCACCTTAAGGAACTTTAAATATTGCGATGCCCCTTTCTATCCTGCCAAGACTCCAAATCCCACTTACCCTACCGCATGTTCTAACATACTGCATAGTTTACTTGAATGTTTTTTACTGTCTTCCCCTGATAGAATGTAATGTGGCTAAAATGCCACAAAGGGAAGGATTTTTGCATTTTACTCACTGATAATTCCAACTACCTAAAACAGTGCTTGGCACATAGTAAGTTTTCAATAAAAAGTCAAAAGCAGTGTTTCAGGCTTTGGGAACATCGTGGTGAACAAGAGAGGCAAACTCCTGGGAGTTCACGTTCTCTTATTACACAGAGCCTGATAAATAGTCTTGATTTTAGAGAGCAGTATGATGGAAACACTGAAGCATTCTAATGCGACAATGTGTAAGAGCTAGCATAGAAAGAATGATTAGGAAAATTCTCTAAAGGATTAATTTGAGCCAAGACCTAGATGATGATTTGGAGACAGGCTAGTGAAGATCTCAAGGAAATGCATTTGAGATGGAGATGAAGGCAACAGACACTGCAGACACTGGCTTTAAGAACACCAGGCTGTGCTAAAAACAAAAAAGTGGGGTGGGAGTGCTATCCCAAATCTTTTAGGTTCCTAGTTTCAATTTCTGGGCTCCTAAATTCCTCATCTATGATAATGAACTACTTTCAGTGACTCAGAGGGCACTGTGCTCTTTGTAAATACTGGGGCATGTTTCCCCTGTCCAGAAAATCATTGTTACCTCACACCCCACTCCACTCCTACTCAACCAGCTAATGGATTCATCCTTGAGGCCTGACTAGATTGCATTCTATTTTGGAAGCCTTTCTTCCCAAGGTGTGTGACCGACCAGCACCTGTGTGCTCCCTGCGCACACTATCTTCTCCCCGTGTTAGAAACTGTAGGAAGAACTCAAAGCCGTTCTGGACAGGTGGAAAACAAGTGAGATTCAATTCTAGCAAGTGTGATGGAAACTAAAACTTAGACCAATGAAATCTAATTTATTTTAAAAACCTAAAAAATAATAGATTCATTCCTAGAAGCTGTACATTTACTATGTAAAACTAATGCAATCAGAAATAAGAAAATCAGTAAAATTCTGGTCATAAAGAGTTGATATTAGAAACAAGATCTGAGGGGCACCTAGGTGGCTCAGTCAGCTGAGCATCCAACTTCAGCTAAGGTCACAACTTTACGGTTCATGGGTTTAAGCCCCGTGTCTGGCTCTGTGCTGACAGTTCAGAGCCTAGAGCCTGCTTCAGACTCTGTGTCTCCCTCACTCTGCCCCTCTCCTGTTTGTGCTCTCTCTCTCTCTCCAAATAAATAAACATTAAAAAAAAAAAAAAAAAAGATCTGAGACAAGGCCTTGATACATAGAATACTAGCTACAGATCCAAATAGTATTCCTCAAGAAATGTCAGAAAAGGAACAGAGAAGAACAAATTTAAAAATGAGGAAATGGTATTCCTATAAGGAAAACCTAAAATTTAGCTTTCTATAAAGTGGTAAGATCAAAAATCACAAACTCGTTTAAGGTTTTAATAGAATGAACCTGAATTTCACCATAAAATGAGGATATTAATTATATGGAACCAGAAAAACCCCAAATAACCAAAAGCAATCCTGAAAAAGAAAACCAAAGCTGGAGGCATCACAATTCTGGACCTCAAGCTGTATCACAAAGCTGTAATGATCAAGACAGTATGGTACTGGTGCAAAAACAGACACATAAATCAATGAAACAGAATAGAGAGGGGCGCCTGGGTGGCTTAGTCGGTTAAGCGTCCGACTTTCGCTTAGGTCATGATCTTGCGGTTCGTGGGTTCGAGCCCCGCGTCGGGCTCCGTGCTGACTGCCAGCTCAGAGCCTGGACCCTGCTTCAGAGTCTGTGTCTCCCTCTCTCTCTGACCCTCCCCTGCTCGCACTGTCTCTCTCTCTCTCTCTCTCCTAGAAATAAATAAAACATTAAAAAAAAAAAAAACAGAATAAAGAACCCAGAAATTGACGCACAAACAAATGGCCAACTAATCTTTAACAAAGCAGGAAAGAATATCCAATGAAATAAAGAGTCTCTTCAGCAAATGGTGTTAGGAAAACTGGACAGAGACATGCAAAAGAATGAACCTGGACCACTTTCTTACACCATACACAAAAATAAACTCAAAATGGATAAAAGACCTAAATGTAAAACAGGAAGCCATCAAAATCCTAGGAGAGAAAGCAGGTAAAAACCTCTTTGACCTCAGCCACAGCAACTTCTTACACAACATGTCTCCGGAGGCAAGGGAAACAAAAGCAAAAGTAAACGATCGGGACCTCAACAAGATAAAAAGCTTGTGCATAGCAAAGAAAACACTCAGCAAAACTAAAAGGCAACCTATGAAATGGGAGAAGATATTTGCAAATGACATATCAGATAAAGGGTTGTATCCAAAATCTATAAAGAATGTATCAAACTCAACGCCCCCCAAAATATACATAAATCCAGTGAAGAAATGGGCAAAAGACATGAATAGACACTTTTCTAAAGAAGACATTCAGATTGCTAACAGAGACATGAAAAAATACTCAACATCACTCATCATCGAGGAAATACAAACCTAAACCACAAAGAGATACCACCTCATACCTGTCAGAATGACTAAAATTAATAACTCAGGCA